ACACAGTAATGGCGACGCAACACAAAATGGACGCCGGCTCCCGGAAGCGGGGGGGGGGGGGACTCCTTCTGAAAGCAGCCACAGACTCCTAGGTTGTAACATGCGACGAGGATAGCTATGAGGCACATCCTCATAGCCATCCCAAGCCGCTAACCACGCAAGCTTACCAGCACGTTTACCAGCTGCAGGCGTTCGTGACAACAAGCGGGGTTGCACGCAAGGTTATCCGTTTAGTAGGTGCCAGCCGGGGCCTCGTCAGCTGAGCTAATAGCAAAATGACCTAATTGAGGGACACGCCAAAAACTGGCCGAGAACAAGCCAACGGCGGGTAACACTGTGAGGCTGTGCGTAGTTCATTAACACTGCGCAAAATTAGGTTCCTGAACATGCTCTCGCTCGTAGGCATTTGTTCCACAAAGGGCATTGTTAACGTGCATGGCTCTGACTACTAATGTCCATATATGTTGTAATGAGGTGCAAGGGAGGCACTCGTAAAAAATGCCTAATTTCAAAATTAGCTAGTGAATATTTTTTACAGTGCAGGGTATTGATGTCCGACTATACCAGACGGACCGAGGACCACCGGCGTCGCCGCAACCGCAGTCTCGTGCAGTACTGCCTCTGGGAACACACAATCGCCCCGCCGCCCGCTATGGACACAAACACATATACGGGATGGCTTTCCACCGCGGCGCGGTAAAAATCTACAAAGCTTATGTTGAAGGGTTACATATGACGCCATTAGTAGAAATTTATTACCCTACTCAGGCTCGACAGAGTGTCATTTCCGATGTCATTTTGGGAGAACTTCATGCTGCAGCTGAAATGGTCTTCGCCACTGCAAAAGCGGCCGTCAAGTGATTCCAAATACAGGGTAGCTGTCAGGCTCCACATACTGTTCGCACGCCATGTGCGAATGCAAATACCCGAGATAAAGCCTTTGTGCTCAGGCTGCCATTCCTAGAAACAATTCCCCGAACCGTATAGATGGATTGCGGTTATTTTAACGTGAGCTTGAATACGGCGTTACCAACTGGCCAAGCAGGCTTTCCCGCGTGCATGTATGTAGCACTGCCCAAGGACCAAAGTTAGTTAGTATCCGAGATGGTTTGACTAGGCTGCACGCCAACAAGCCATATTGCATGTGGAAACACGGGATCAGAATACACGCCGGCGTGAGCTCATGCATGATTTTGGCCTTCATGACACAACGAAAAAGCCCCAGGTGTCAACGGCAGCTAAGTATGACATGTGATGGAAAACCATATCAGATAAAAATCGGACAAACCGATTCACGACTCAATTTGCGATTCACAACTCACTTTGTCCCGGGGAGTGAATTTGAATGAACGTGGGCACTGGTGGGCAGATGATATTGCACAAACAAGAAAACAACCAGAATCAGACATCAGCTTTGCACTTGCTGAGTCGATTCATCTCTTCATTTCCATTGGCTCTGCAAGTATAAGTTTGTATCCTCTCTCTCCCCGACCACACCTGCACTCACACGAACATTGCATCGGAAACCAAACATTTAGGGTAACTGTGGGGAAAACGCACCCCTGGGTTAAACGCCTCCCCTAAAAAAATCGTCGATCTTATCGACGGATAGGTGTTTTATCCTGGCTTTCAGAACAGTCAGCTGCTTGTTTACGTAGTTCTCTATTTCCGGTTCTGCGTCTTGAGTAGCAGCGTGGGTAGGTGCTGATGTTGGTTTTGGGTGCTGTTTTTGTTGTTTTTACAGAAGATCCCTAAGCTTTTGATGCCCTCTTTATATCACAAAACTTGCTATTGTGCACATCACTCAAAACTGCGTTTTATTGTCATTCTGTTGAATTTATTATGCTGCGGCGTTAGTGGCGCGTTTTTTGTCAATATTTTGTTGACGGGAAATGGAGTGGATGGGGAAAGACGCCTACTCGATGCATGGGGCAAGACGCCCCCAGTTTTCTGAAAGGGGGGCGTTTTGCACGGTGGTGAGAGTGCAGGGTAGCGCCGTGTAGGTCGGGGCCGAAAAGGCCTCTCCCTATCCTTTTTTGCTGATATATCCTAAACGACTGCAGATATCGTCACCAAACTTTCAGGACTGCTCCGGGCATCCATTTTACACATTGCAACAACATCTTATTCCAAAGGCTATGATAGGTTGACCACAAATGACGTCAGAATGACGTCAAGTTCTGTCATGTTCATCATTTTCTGTTGATGGATGGGGTGGGGGCGCTTTGCACATGGGTGTGGGCGTATTACCCAGGGTGTGGGGCAAAACGCCCTTTTGTAAGGGTATGCGGAAACCTTTTTGGGGGGTTAAATAACACACGCAAGTGTCTTTTCTTGGTCTCAAAGCGTAGTAAAAAGAATGAGCTACATGATGGTGCCCAAAGGTTTGAGTAATCTGGGTTGGGTTGAGTGTCAGAAGGTTTCGCGCTTAATGGGGGCGTTTTTGACCTATTCACCCTACCTGTGCCATCCAGGGTCTGTAATCCATCACGGTTGCCACTCGAGGCACCTTTTCATCGTATAGTTTTACGAGAACTTCCTCAGCACACGGCTCTTTTCACTGGCTGCGGCGACGTCGGCAGTTTCGCCGGCGGCACATGACGAAGTTGGCGGCCGCCGCTGCTCCCCCTGACCCCCCACCTTCCGCAGCTTTCCGAGAGCAGGGCACCTCGGACTACGTCAACATTGGCACGCACCGCCGTCGATCGGGCCGATCTCGGGCCGGCCGTGTTTAGTCGCCCGTGCCGGGACTGTTTGTGTTTCTGGACGTCTCGTGTCGGCCGTCGTGACGGGACATTAGCGGGCCCGGCCCTGAGCTGGCGGACCCCGCCGTCAGTGGCCGCTCTTGGAGCAGCTCTTAGTGGAGTGGAAGTGGGCGCGACGAAAAACTGTCCTTCGGCGTCTGTCGGCAGCCTTTGTCAGATGGCCCTGGCCGCGTGTCGCCACCTGCCATTGTTGTTCATGGAAATAGGGACCGTTCTGAAAGTAGGTACTCCCAACTGCATTCCTATAGGGATTTGTTTTGTTTTCGTGAGTGAATCGAGTCCATTGTTCCTAGGAGATGTTTGACTTGGTTCTTGCCAGTTCATTGTCGGCGCTCATTTGTGCATACAAATCAGCGAGTTGTTGGAAGTGATGTTATTAGTAGTCGTTTCCACCTAACGCTCGTTCATTCTTATTGAGAGGAGGAGATATGTTTGTGGTTTGGTGCCACGATTTTTAGCAACGTTTATACGCTTCATGTTTTGTTTTAGTTCATGATTACCTACATTTGACAATCATAATGATCCCGTGATATTCTGGTATTAATATCCAACGCAAAGATCACAGGCGTCTGAAAGCGCCAGCCGATTGAATGATAACTACCACAATCCGCCGTGTCCGGCGTTACACCCGACCTGACCTGAACTCTCTCTCTCTCTCTCTCCCAGCTCCCGGCCTCGCGACCATAGTCTGCGGCCCGCTGTGTCCGGCGTTACACCCGACCTAACCTGACCTGACCTGACCTGACCTCTCTCTTCCCAGCTCCAGGCCCAGCGACAGCACGGAGTTAATGATTTCATTTGACAATCATAATGATCCCGTGATATTCTGGTATTAACCCGCGCACCGACGGGGGTCTGCGCCAACTTCGCACCGACGGGGGGGGGGGGGGCGGATGACCGCCCCCCCCCCTGAGATCTCGAGAACGAAGCAAGATAGCGACAAGCGGCGAACGGCATCGGATACGCACGGTCAAGATCTACAATTTTTGCTAAGGTCATTTTCAGGTCAGGTCAAAGATGACGTCACAGGGGTCGAAAAACTCAAAATGGCGGCGCTAGATGTGGAGAGAGTTTTTCTCGAATAACTTTCGAATTAGTCAAGATAGGAACAAACTAAGGGCATCATCGTAATCCTCTCGTCAATCCGCATAGAATGATATATATGTTGACCTCGAAAGGTCAAGGTCAAAGGTTGACCTCAGGTCACGTGACCTCGAGGTCATCATGTATATCATTCGATGCGTCTTGACAAGCTGAACACAATGGGACCATTCACGCATCTGTATCTTGTTCCTGTACGGAGTTATTGGCCAAAAACCTTTGGTGACCTTTGATGACGTCACATGACCTCACAGCTGCCCAACAGCAAAACAGACCTCAAGGTAGTGAAGGTTGATCGTATATGAAGTCATGTATGGTATATGGGGCCATTCCGACCCGTTTTAGTGGTAAAAACAGGGAGTTGATTTTTCCCCCATTGACTTATAATGGGGAAGTCGCGAAATTGACCTGACCTTAGGTCACCGGTATCAAAATTCTGAGATATAAAAATTGTAGCTACTAATGACCTAATAACATCCTGCGACTTTCAAAGGCCTCCGACATCTACTGTAGCTCTGGCACGGTGACAAAGTTGCAAAAAAGTGACTTGAGGTTGGGTCATTCAAAGTGACCTGGTGACCTGACCTTGAAAGGTAGCAGGTTCAAACTTGCACACCATGTGTAAAATTGATGAGGAAATAGTCATACCAAATTTCGCGGCGCTACGCGCCACGGGTTTCCCGCTATTCGCGAAAAACCTCAGGGGGGGGGGGCGGATATCCGCCCCCCCCCCCGTCGGTGCGCGGGTTAACACCCATAGCAAAGATCACAAGTGTCTGAAAGCGCCAGCCGATGGCCTGATTGATTGATACCACAATCCGCAGTGCCCGTCGTCCCGACCTGACCTGACCTATCCCTCCCCCCATCTCCCGTCCTCGCGACATCGTATAGTCTGCGGCCCGCTGTGTCCGCGTTACACCTGACGACCTGACCTGACCTGACCTGACCTCTCTCTCCCCAACTCCCGTCCGAGCGACATCGTATAACCTGCGGCCCGCTTTGTCCGGCGTTACACCCGACCTGACCTGACCTGACCTCTCTCTCCCCCAGCTCCCGTCCGAGCGACACCACGGTGTGCGGCCCGCTGTGTCCGGCGCTACGCCCGACGTGACCTGACCTGACCTCTCTCCCCAGCTCCCGTCCGAGCGACACCACGGTGTGCGGCCCGCTGTGCCCGTCGTTCCGACTGGCGTCCCGGTCGGCGCGGTACGACGTCCGGCTGTACCCGCGCACACTGTGGGTCAGCTACGTCACCGTCACCGAAAACCGCCTGCTGGCCGAAATGGAGGCCCGTGCCGGTCTTACAGAGTTCCTCGGCGGCAGGAACAGCCACGGTGAGCGGGGCCGAGCAGGGCGCGGAGGGACATCGACGCGACGGCCAGTCTCGGGGAGGGGAGGGACACGCGTGGTGGAGACATGTGCTTGGAGCTGGTAGCGGGGCACTTTTCGGGAAAGGTTTATAGAAATGAAGCATTTTTACCTCCTCAGTGTACCTATTTCTTACGAATGGCGAATAGTCCTTGTAGCATATAAACCAGTATAACGCCTTTTGGGGCGACTAACGGAGCGAGCGAGAGGGTGAGCCTTGCACGTGCGGAATTTCGAGGGGGTACCTCCAACTGACTTGTGCACGGCACCCTACTAACCGGTCTCTAGCGATGTGCCAAATTTGGGCACAATCGGCCCAGCCGTTCTCGAGATCTGGAAGCGGCACCCTGCACGTGCGCACGTGCAAAATGGGTCCCAACTGACTTGTGCACGGCACCCTACTAACCGGTCCCTAACTGTGTACCAAATTTGAGCGCAATCGGTCGAGCCGTTCTCGAGATCTGGAAACGACCCCTGCACGTGCGCACGTGCAGCAGCACCCCAACTCTGGCACATGGATATGCAGTGCCTAGTTGGTGCCTACCTACATGCCAACTTTGAGCGCAATCGGCCAAGTAGTTACCGAGATATTGCAACAATTGCAAAACTGACACCTCCTCGTTTTGCGCGTGGCACGTGCATAAGGGGTCACCCACATGCATCGGGAATAGTCCAATACTTGGTAGAAGGAATGAAGTTACCCTACAAAAATTACCGCATGTAAATCGGTCAAGTGGTTGCTGAGATATAAGCCTCGCAAAAGCGTCCGCACGGCCGGCCGCTCATACTGAGAAATTTCCGTTAATCTAAGGAAAGACTACGCTCGCTTCGCTCGCTCCGTAATGACGGCTTATATGAGGGCACACACTATCTCCCGGCTCCCTACGGCCTGCGCTGTTGCGAGCCCGACAGACTGCGGCTGTTGACCGTCTTCCCGGCCCATCAGCGGCCGTGTGCCGCTTGTTGTCCGACCTCATCGCGCCCTGTCGCGCATAGCAACGAGCCGCTCGCCGCCGACATGAGCCGGTCAGCGCTCGTCCACCGGGGCCCACCTCCTTGGCATGCATGACGGTCGGCGCAGCGCCGGGATTAGGGAGACGTTTTAATCGGTGGCTGCAGCACCCGGTCAGTGAGCCGGCCGGCCGTAAAACGCCGCGGATGCGCCGCGATGCCAGACAGAGTGGGTACCAACAGGTTTAATTGTTCCTGGAAGCTGACGGTGGACACTGGACGTGAGGTACATTTGTAAGCGAAAGTCATGGAGATTCGACAACACAGGTGCGCTGAGGTAATTGGCACGGAGAGTCAGTAGTCATGCTTTGCACTCGTGCTTTTCATTCAGCGCTCTTTCTTGCCAAATAATCACATGTTTTGGGTTAGGCGCGTATATGCTTGTCATTAGAAAAGGCGTGATTTTTCTGTTGTTTCCATTCAAACGAAGCTGCTGATGAGTTCCGTCATTAAAGGCTAAAACAGACTCTTCCCGCATGCAGGAAATCGCATGCGAGAGCCTATTCAAATAGGTAAGTACATACATTAGTTTCCTCCCGCATCGATCACACGCATCTCTTACACTACCCGCATCAGGAAATCGTATCTCCCGCACCGTCTTCCCGCGTCGTCCTGACGCCTCGCTCGCATCGCCCGCATCACCCGCAAGCATCGCCCGCACGGCTCGCACGCGAGCGTTGCACGCGAATCGCGAGCGAGCGATTGATGCGTAAAGAACCTCTTTCAGCCTTTAGTGTTCCTTTCTTGAACATCCGTCGGCTGAGCGTATGGAATAATTTATCGGAGATAAAGCAAAACATTACCGCGGTCCCTCCTTTATTTCTTTGGTCAGTATATAACGCCTTGCTTTAGACTGCGCTGCCAACGCTGACCTCTGGTCGTACCCGACAACTTCTCGGTCCGTCCCGAAGCTGGAAGCCGGAATCTCTGGGCTTCTAAGCAGCGACCACAGCGCCGGAAAGGCTATCAGTGCAGACGACTGTGACGTTTATAAGTGAAGCGTGTCTTATCTGGCGTCATCGTGTCAAATGACGTCCAGCTACAAGGAGCGATATCCGCATTTAGACCCCGGCGGTACATTGCAGGTGTCAGATTATGCTACTTAGTTGCAAATAAAGACATTTGCGATTTGTGATGTTTGGATTGGGGAGTGGCTGTCGCTTTCAGTTCTTCATATGCCTGAATTGCATAACATGTCCCCATCTCAGCGTCAACGGCCGCCTTTGAGAAACAATAAGTGTAAAGATGGAATTACCAACATGTCTATCGCTGATCAATGATTATGGAGCAGTTATTCTCGGAGGTTAAGCTTACAGTTAACACAGGCATTCCATCAGCGTGTCTAAATCCACAAACATCCCCACACTACCCACGCTCCTAAAAGCGGGCTCCACACTCTGCGGTGTGCCCCGCGCGGAACAATAGCCGGCACTGAAAACAATTTAACCCAAGGCCGGCGAGTAAACCGGTGTTTCGTGGGTACCCCTATCCGCAACCATTTTTAACCACCCTCCCAGGAGTAGTGCTAGTTAGATCCCATTGCGGTGTAGTCGTACTTGGTCTGAGCGGATATAACCGCTCTCAGCGAACATGTCCGCTGAGAGCAGGGACGACTACACTGCAATGGGACATTACTGTACTCCTGGGAGGGTGGTTAAAAATGGTTGCGGATAGGGGTACCCGCGAAACACCGGTTTACTCGCCGGCCTTGGGTTAAATTGTTTTCAGTGGGCCGACGGGCCGAGGGCGGCTTTCGGAGGCGATCTGTCGGCCGGCGGTGGACGCCACCGCCTCGCCGACTGCTATCTGCGTCAGGGCGCGGTCAAGACCGGCCCATCGTGCCCTCCACCCCTTCCTGATGGGAGATCGCTCAGCTGCTTATCATTTCACCCAGCTCCTGTCTAATAGCCCGCCCGTGCGCGGCGCGGAGGGCGGGGTGGTGACCCGGCCGCTGACCCTGTTCCCAGGGATCCTCCTCCGCCGGAGATCATCCCACTCGTGACCTTGACGTCATCAGTTGCACCGTCACGCGGGGAGCCGGTGCGGTGCCCTCGCGCACTGTTCGGCGCTGGCCCGCTCGGCCCCCACCGGGCGTCAGTAAGAGCGGTGACTCACCGATGACGGCTCTGCCGACTGACGGCGGGCTCTGGTCAGTGTCATCGGGCCATCCCCACCGGGTATGCCTACCGTCACTGCGGGGTGCCGGCCGCAATGGGTGGGTTCGGTCGGACAGCCAAAGAATTACCGCCGGAACGACCACAATTGGCTGGTCCACCCACAGTACCTATAGTTTCAGATCCGTCTCCGAGTTCAGTGGTCATGACCTACGGCACCGATGACTCCGACTTAGAGCTCAGAATACGACACAAAGGAGCGAAAACACCGCGCTGGATTCGGTCATGGCTGCGCATAAACTCGGGAAATCATTACTTGGCACTCCACCAAACGCACACAGAAACGATCATATGCAAATGCGGTTTTCCTTCACAACAGAGCGCAGCGAGTGAGCAGCGATCGCCCGCGGGCGACGGGCCGATGTCGGCGCCTCCTCGGACAATCAGTCCTGATCTGGCCATGCCTATTACTCAGCCGACATTTGAATTAATCTCTGGCTGCGTCTGAATTAATCGGCGCCGGGCTGAATCCATCTGCGGCCGGCGGGCGGCCCGCCGCAGTCTGCCGGTCGGGTCGGACACCGCCGTCCTCGTTACACGTCTCACTCGGACAGGGGACAATGGGACGGTGTGTAGCGCCGCCTGTCCTCGTCAGACGCCGCAGTCCGAGCCGTCCTCCGCACGTCGCGAAAGGACAGTCGGACCGGCGCAGGGTGTAGTCGCGGGACGGGCAGAAATGACGCGCCTGTCATATTCTGACAGCCAAATGGTCAGGTGTCCCCGACAGATAGAGCCTGCGACGGCCCAGTGAAATGTCTTCAGAGAGAGCGGCATGCAGTCTGAGGCGTCAAACTTCTGACCTTAGCGCGGACAATAGACGGGCTATTTGGCTATATAGTTAAATTTAGAATATCGTATAAGAGCTGATGAATGAAACAATAAATAATTGACTGATAAATTTGCTCACATCGGATGTAGAACATAATTATCAGCTGGGAGCATTCTAACTTGCAGACAGTGACTTTCCTCTTACTCCTTTTAAACGTCGATTATAAGGGTACACATTTCCCTATTACATACTAAAAGCCAGAGTGCCGCTCGCAACGAATCGCTGCTTTGCCTGACTGTCTTGCTGAGCATGACATTTTTCCATTTTATCATTTATCGAGAAGAAATTATGACCGCAGTTTGTCAGGCGACGTTTGATCCGGGCGTTTGATGTGAAAGAAATCGCTGATCTCAGCGATTTGCTCGGGTGATCGGTACTTCACGTCCAATGAAAACCTTAATGACGGTCAGATATGTGACACGTGACATTGGGGGCATTCCACGTCAAATCGAACAAAAATCGGCTGTTTTGCACCTTACCATCAGCGATTTCATTATAAATTTGTGAGCGAGTTCCTCTGTGGCCCCGGACATTACATTGATGTTTTTTGCACATTCTGACCACAGGTCTTCTAAATATAGGGCATCGAATTTCTGCAAAATGTTGCATCTTTATATTTTTGAACGACCATAACTTTGGTTGTACTTGTTTGATTTGAATGAAATAAACCTTACTGTTAAGGTAATTTCTTAAGCATTTGTTTAGAATTGCACCTACTTAAATATATGACCTTGAAATTTGCTTAACTCTGTTCTTAAGCACAAATATTGAAATAGCAAAAAACACGTCACCTTCGATTTGGCTCATTTTCATATATTTTATTGCCTACCATATTCTTAACAACCTGTGAAAAAATTAGAGTGGGCCATTCATAAGTTTTGAAGAAAATTGCACATATGCAAACGTATGGTAGCACGCGCAGTGGAGGGGGAAGAGCGAATTTCGCCCACCCCTCCTGTTTTTCGCCAATATTTCATAAGATTAATGCGAAATTAATTATGGCTACCTGTCAAGAATTGAATTGGACATCTCATCGTGCAATCAATAAGAAAATCGGTTCACAACTGTTCTAGTAATAGCGGTGTAAAGTGAACATCCTGTCGCCGCAGCGACGCGGCGACTCGGCAGCCGGCGCCGACCGCTACGCGCCGCCTGAATTGTAGACTGTGCCGGGACGGAACGGAACGGTTCTGTCTTTACATCGCGCTCCCTACCGCTGATTACGTTCGATTCGCGTCAAATTTTGTGAGAAGACTAAGAAATGTACAGGCAATCTTATGGTGAAAGAATTTTGAAAATCGGTTGGTAAACAATTTAAATATGAACGTGTAAACACAAAATTGTGATTGTTGCGTTTCCCGCATCGGCCGAGCCCGCCTCAGCCGGCGACATGTAACTCTTAGCAGGCCTCTAGGCTCTAACTGCCATATTTATTATTGGATTAACTAGAAATTCCCCATACATATTAAAGAATGTATGTTCTTTCGTATAGTGAAGATCAAAAGACGTGAAGATATCGTTGCGTGATAATGTTTTCGCTGAATTTACTTCATGATGCATTTCCACACGGCTCAAAATTCACCGCAAAATACCGTTTGCCTGAGACACTTTTACTATGGAACGTGAATGCTTGACTACGATGAATATGCATTTCCATTCTCGCAGAGTTTGGGATATCACTAATCAACAATCATTCATTTCAGAAAGTGTACACAAGCAAGCATGTCTTGACTCTGTCTTTCAAGGTCACGCGCGGTTGCGTGATGTTGATCCATGAAAACGGCGTTTGCCGCGAAAGTTATGAATGGCCCACTCCAATTTTTTCACAGATGGTTAGGAACATTGTGACGGACATAATATGTAAAAATTACCCAAATCGAAGGTGACGTGTTTTTTGCTATTTAAATTTTTCTGCTTTAATTTAAGGTCAAATGCATTTCAAGGTCACTTCAATTTAATTTTATAATTAAAATCAAAGCCTTATCAATTGCCTATAAGACCCTGTTAATATCATTTTGATACCAGAAAAGGAACCAGAGTTATAGCCATTTAAAAAATTGATGTGTGGCATTTTTCGCTATATTCGATGACCTATATCTCAGCGATACGTTATCAAATTTCGAAAATATTATACGTAACTCAGTTTTGAACCATGCCCAGTCTGCCTACAAATTTTCAGAAAAATCGAAGGGGATGACGGATTTCGGTGTTTGATTTGACGTGGAATGCCCCATTGATAAATTGCTCAGAGGCCCATGAGAAGGTTCTATGTTTGATGTTATGAAATGTGTGGAGCGTTTGAGCAATACGATATGCTAGAATGCACACTCGGATATCGACAAACCGATTACAAGAGGAACGTATTCGAATTATAATGGTAGAAGCAGAATTTCTGGGTAAATGTAACTGTTGATCTTTGTGTAGGTATGAAAACAGGCGTCGCTCATGGCTATGCCATGTGGAACGTTGACGAAAAGGGGTCATTGGGCCCATCAGATAAGGCGCTGCTAAAAGCCCGTTGGACCGTGGGCATGTAGATACCGACACTGCTTTAGGCCCCAGAGAAAATGTAGCTCCATATGGTGTCACCGAGTTGTACGTTTTCAGGTATCGAGCTGCCGCAGACGTTCCCATTCGTGACGCAGCTGCGGTACGGCCGTGTGCCCGGGCGGCACAAACAGGGGTCCGACTTCAGCGTCTCCATCCCGCTGCTGGAGGACTCGTTCCTGCCGCGGCCCGACTCCAACCAGGTCAGCGCCGGCCGGGTCACACAGAGACGGATCAGGTCAGGTCGTAGACGGGTGAGGTCGGGTCACACAGTCGGGTCAGGTCAGGTCAGGTCATAGACGGTGAGGTGGGCTCATTGACAGGTGAGGTCGGGTCACAGAGCCGGGTCGGGGCAGGTCATAGACGGGTGAGGTCAGGTCATAGACGGGCGAGGTCTGGTCATAGAAGGGTGAGGTCAGGTCATAGTAGGCCGGATGAGGTCAGGTCGCAGCTTCTGGTGAGGGATGTCATGTCACAGAGCCGGATGAGCCCATGTCGTAGCGTCGGGTGAAGTGGAGACATGTCAGCGTCGAGTGATACGAGGAATGATGTCTAAGCGTCGAGTGTTTCACAGAAATGCCACAAACATTTGTCACACTTGAATATTTAACCAACGGAGCATAGCATGTGCGATTAATTCATGAGTTTGCTACTCGCCAGACCAATGCCGTCTATGCAAGGTCAAGCGTGTAGCTCGCACTGCAATCGTTTGTAACGATCGATCATTCATCTTCATCCAGTCTGCGCTCACACCGCGGTGACGGCAATCCAAACAAACACTCGACCCGCTCTCGATGCGACACTGATGGAGGTCATAACCTAAGAGATTGCACTCCAGCAGATCGGCCATGATTCGTCTCTCAACACTCGGCCCATCAGTGCGCGATGCTGTCCGCCGCAATCGGAGCCGCTGGGCGCTGACCACTCAACTCCTAGCTACGAGTGCAGTGCTGCACCGTCTCCCCGCTGTCCAAACAGGGCCCAACAACACACGCTCGGCGCCTTGCTCGGTGACACAGACATAAGGACACCCGCCGGCCACTTTGGATCGACCGGCGCGGCGCCTTATGGAGTGCCAGCTGGCCCCGGCCGACACTCTGCCAAAGACAAACTCGGAGAGCTGCCGAAGACAAACTCGGAGAGTGGCCGTCGCTCGCGGCCGCCAAAGGCCTCATGAAGTCACCGCCGGACGTCAGCCGGGGCCGGCGCGTGCGGCGCCGTCGTGTTCCGCGCTCCCAGCTCGGAGCTATCTAACAGCGATCGCGATCATCTCGCCGATCGGCATTGAGCTGTGGGTCCGGTTGGCGCTCTCTGAGCCATACGAACGGGCGGCGACCGTCGCTTTTGCGCTTCGAGCCGGACATGTCTAGACGGTGTTGCGTATTCCGAACCAGTGCCAGTAGCTCACTAAGATTTTGACAAGTCAACATAAATAGGCACCAACACGACAAGAATATGGAAAATCAATTTTGAAACAAACTTTTCTCTTATCTGCCGTAAGTATTTAATGCACCAACAAAACCGCAGAAACCAGGTTAGCAACATCTTCGGTTGTTTTCATGACTGCCCTCTGTCTCGCATATGGCTATCTCTGTTGTGTCCGGACCCAGCCCGGTGTATGTATCACCGAAGGCCTGTGAGCGTCTCGGTGCCCTCAGCACCAGGCGGCACGCTGATGAATATGGACCAGGGCGTTATCCACTGGTCCCCTCCATCACCCTGCGCCGGCTGACCGGTGACGTGTGCCGCACCCCGTCCCGTGCCGGCAGCGCCACAGATACCCGCGATCCGGTGGTCACGCCCGCAGTATACCATACCTACCGCTATATCTGAGGGGAACTAACAGTGATCTCCGTTAGTGGGCTTCGTATCTGAGGAGGGACTGTGTCAGCCCGAGCGGCCCTCCCCGGCCGGCCGGATACCGAATTACCGAGCCAGCCGAGGAGTGGCCGTGACTTCCGGCGCGGCGGTGGGCCGGGGAGAGGCTCGATACGGCGCTCCCAGCGGCCACGTGCTCTGTTATCATTCACCCTCATTCTCTCTCTCTCTCTCTCTCTCTCTCTCTCTCTCTCTCTCTCTCTCTCTCTCTCTCTCTCTCTCTCTCTCTCTCTCTCTCTCTCTCTCTCTCTCTCTCTCTCTCTCTCTCTCTCTCTCTCTCTCTCTCTCTCTCTCTCTCCCTCTCTCTCTCTCCCTCTCTTCCTCTCTCTCTCTCTCTCTCTCTCTCTTTCTATCTCACTCTCTCTCTCTCTCTCTCTCTCTCTCTCTCTCTCTCTCTCTCTCTCTCTCTCTCTCTCTCTCTCTCTCTCTCACACACAACACGTGCGAAAAAGATGCGTAAAGCAGTAGGTATGCCAGAAGCGGTGGCGCTCCGCGTGCCCAAATCCTTTCCCGGCCCGTCGCGAGTAAATATCAATCAATGGCTGCTCTTATACGGTCTGTAAATGACGATGTTTTGCTTATATTTATTATGTATCATCCTAAAATAATTATATCCTGGCTTTGGCATACGTGATACGCCTAACAAAATGATCTTTCAAGTAGTTGCGTTGTAGCTAAGGGAGTTGATTGCTCATTACCCGTAATTGAAGTGAAATGTGTTGAATGAGAACTGAGTGATAGCATAAAACGCCGATTCTCAACCCTAGACCCGTCATAACCTTTGAAATATATTATGGTAGATGCTTTGACACCTTATACCTGAAAGTGCGTTTAATTAGTAGATGCTTGTAATACGACCGCGTAACATTCTTTCATCTACTATGCATGGTAATAATACGGCTGATATTGCATGACTTGCTCGTTTCATTACATTTTGGTGTCACGTAATAGTGATAATGGATTGTAGAAAGAAGGAAGGCGCGGTCCACCCCAGTCGAGTTGGTGTGCTTTCCGTGTGCGGAGGTGACGGGCCGAGCTACATGTGAAGCCGCATCCCGGGGAGCCAAGGGGAGCATCTGTCTGGCAGATACAAGTGAACGAAGGCATGACGCTCAGCGGATCATGAAACGATTATTTGTGGAAGACGTTCTAGCCGGTATTTGACGTTGGTAAAAGAGACATACATCTGCCAAAGCCATTCGGAGAGAAGGGTACTGACATCAGCATTATCACCAGCGACACACTAGACGAGCTGTATCTGTCGAACTGCAACACCATGCCCAAGAAGGTACGGCTGCTTCATCTTCTGAACTACGGATTTCAATTCCTTCTGCTAGCTGCCTGGCTTAGCCTCACGGGTCTGAAGATAAAACACTATCTTTCGGAGCCTACCGCCCTTCGATCTCGCCTCGACCACGAGTTCAAAAATCCGTTCATAAGTATGTCTCCCTTTCGGTTTCTTCCAAAACGAATAAAAAACGTCATACAGGATGGTACCGACGAAGAAAGAAGTGAGCTCTTCGGCAATCGGACGCTCCTGGAATTCATCAAGTGGCACGGCCTCGCTCTGGCTGAGTTTACTGGAGTCTTAAACATGACTGACATTGAAAGAAGACAGAGAATGAATTTTTTCTTTAAAAAAAAAAAAAAAAAAAACGACCATAGAGGATTACCGAGGTACTTGGCGGCGCACTCTGATTGAAACTCAGACCCTGGGTGCAACACTGACGACCTCATCTACCGAATTAATGGTAACGCTGCCAAGGAACGTAGAATCGGAAAGCAGCATGGGCAATCAGTACGTTTACTGGCTGACATTTCACAGCGAGCCAGATTTGTTTATATATGACCCCGAGTTGCACACGCATCTGCCTGTCACAAACGTTTCCCAGCATAGAGATGTCAAAGTATCAATTGACCGCACAGTGAATCTTAACTTGAGGCGTCTACCATGCGAGGAAGATCCAAACTACGCTGTGACGTCCTGTCAGAAGAAATGCTTCCTAAAAAGTATCAACTGTACCCTAAACACCACAAGCGGAGACGATGCTGATAGAAAACCGCCGTGCATGGCCTCTGATTTCAAATGGTACATGCAGAAAACGCGCGCCTTTCTTCATGGAACCAACGGCACTGAAAAGGCTCAGATTAACAAGTGTGGCTGCCGGACGGCATGTGTGAGGGACCGGATCAGCTACACCTCGCTGGCGGACATCACGAGAAGCACCAACGACAGTCTGAGGGTGTACATCGAAATGAGCAGGGTGCGCCACACGCGGCTGGCGGTGCTGACCTACGGCCTGGAGGACCTGCTGGCCGACATTGGCGGCTACCTGGGCCTGCTGCTCGGTGTGTCGCTGCACTCGCTGTGCGGCGCCGGCCAGCGGCTGGCCCGGCGGCTCACCAAACGGCTCCGCCGGGGGCGCAGCGCCAGCAGACGAAAGGCCGGCAAAGCGGAGACCGCCGACGGCGCCGAGAGTGCCTGGACCTTGGACCGAGAAGAGGCGACGTTTGGTCTTCGCCACAGGTCGCCAGAACATGTGTTTTCGGATCGACCCGATCAAGATGATTCGTACAACATGGACTAACCTGAGCATTGACCCCATCAGCAAAGGCGCCAAGAAAAGCCTGAACCTGTCTAGGCGCCACGCATTGACCCAGTAGCAAAGAGAGGGCAAAAGTCTGAACATTGAAACCATCCAAGGCACCATAGGTCACCATGCCACCATGCCTAAAATTAAGTATAGAGCCTTGCGGAAAAAACGAGCGTGTGCGCCGTTACGAGACGTAGCGATATATGCCCGATTTTAAGGTCTCGGGTCAACTGGTGACCTCTGAGGTCAGGACAAGGGACCCAAGGCACGGGCTTGGTTTTTGAGTTTCATCTCCCTCTGAAAGCTCCTCTCGCACTGAGGGCGTTGCGAAGTTGCGACAGTTTAGGACCGTGCAGACTCATAATATATGTAGAGCATGTCCTTACACACATGTGCAAGCTGCCTTAGAGGTGGACTAAGTCGTAGTCTTGGTGCCTGCCCGGTCAGCATGTGCTCCTCGTGCACGCCACCCTTTGCATTATCAATGCGCGTGCCACATGCAATGGCACTGCCTGCAGCTCACTTGTATTAAACACATCGATCTGTGCATGACAATTACTTTACACAAACACTTAACACGTCGTATTAATGATTCATTAGCCGCACAGCGACCCGACTGCCATACAGTGGTGCGATTGCGAATGTTTATGTGTCTTAACCCGCGAGTTGCTAGGGGGGGGGGGGCGTTAAACGCCCCCACTTTTTTCGCCGGTCCATAGCATAAAAACGGCGCGCCGCAGGCGCGCCAAATTTTGGGTACCTGTAGGGAATTGATCAAAGTGTATTGTGACAAAGTTTCAAAAAAATCGGTCGGAAAATTTTTGAGATATCGAGGTTTTAGTGACGTCATGATTTCTGAGTTTTCGGCCAAAAACGGCATATGTTCAAAAAATCATATAAAATCACAGAATAGACATACAGACATGCCGTAAACGCCATTAGACTGCCAATACCATGAACAATCAAATGGCTATCTTCGATTATTGATTATCGTTCCGCATTTTCCAAAATCTTGAACTGAATCTTGGGAATTTCTCGTGACTACTTCACGACCATGATACATGCATTTCTTAAATTGAACTTTTTAAGCCAAACACGTACACATATGATAAAAGGAATGTCACCATCGTGTTCTACGCTCCAAATTACCCATAAAACATGTGTCACAGGCTGCGAATATCAGTTTTGATTTTCGGGGATATGTGCCTACCCGGTTGACCTGACCTTGACCCTGACCTATGCTTTACTGACCCCTACATGGAGCTGACACTCTTGTAGGCCTTATATGATGGATTGTGCACCGTTTTGACAGAGTTTATGACGAGAGGCGCCCATTGCGAAGTCCTGAAGTCCATGCTACTGAAAGCCCGATTTCAGGTGTTTGACCTGACCTTGACCCGACCTGTGACCTCAAAATTCAACTTTAAAGTACTCATCTGAAGCGTCTCGTCGCGTTCTTTCGTTTGCCTCCTCGTGCATTTCGCTGCGCCTATTGGTTCTCGAGTTATCGGCTGGGGGCGTTTAACGCCCCCCCCCCCAGCAAACGGTGGGTGGCGAAATACCCCAGCAACTGCCGGGTTAAGTCGGGTCAGACACACAGACCGACGGCCCTTTTCAACTGATATTTGAAAAGAGAATTCAATCGTGTATGTCGACAGTTCCGAGCAAGAACATCCTTAGTGTCAAATTTTTTGAAATTGAGATTTTTATTGGTATACAAATCTCAATTTCGAAAAATTTGACACTTCAGATGTTCTTGCTCGGAACTGTCGATGTGTTTTTGAAGTTCAGTACAGTTCTGTTAGGTGTAAGTGTTTTGCGCTCGAATATACGTCATGGGTATACCACATGCAATATTTGCTCGTTGAACAGCCTGACACGCCCTGCCGGTTCCCGCTCAGCCCAGCCGGCTGACCGCTCTGGCAGGGAGGACGCGGGTCGGGTGGGGGTCGCACGGTTCGGGAACGGCCAACCAGCACATTATTTACGTCAGAGCACGGAGGCTGGTTGAATACACAGGAGTACGGGTGTTTCGCGTCTGTAGCGGTGGTTTCAGAAGCAAACACGCCATCGATCTGTTCATGGACCCTCTCGTTGATTCATCAAGTCAAACTGACGTCGACTACCACATAGGAACATATGCCTTGACCATGCCGATGCGTAAGATTCTCGTGGGCCTGTGGACGGCCGAGGAACGGAGGTTCTTTAATCTTTATGCAGATGAGAGAATAATGTGGGAGAAATGAGGCTCCAGTGAACAAATACATAAGAGCATACTTGGACAACCGTGAGGTTCTACATGAGGACGCAGCTGCAGGCCTTTCTTAACGTTTTTTACCCTCTTTCTACTCTTGAGGTCAGTTAGCCCTCTTGATGAAATATGGACTCCACCGATCGTGATGAGTCCCACTGCATAACAAAGAGGTAGGTGCCTTTGTACAAATTGGAGGCCCCCATTTGTTTGGGTTCACCGACTCATCGCTACCCTTGACATTGCTGGCCAGTTATCTGCCCTAGCACTCTGTGCGTCTCGTCCGTTTATCTGTCGCTAACCCGAGATTCCCAGCCGCCGAACCCCTGAGCCTTATCCGCAGCCGACCAAAACTCCCCAGTCGCTGACTGGAGGTCCCCAGTCACTGATCCCTTCCCAGCTCCTTCTGCCGCCGTCCTGGACTCCCCAGCCGCTGACCCGAGCTCCCCAGTCGCTGACCTCAGCTCCCCAGTCGCTGACCCGAGCTCCCCAGTCGCTGACCTCAGCTCCCCAGTCGCTGACCCGAGCTCCCCAGTCGCTGACCCGAGCTCCCCAGTCGCTGACCTCAGCTCCCCAGTCGCTGACCCGAGCTCCCCAGTCGCTGACCCGAGCTCCCCAGTCGCTGACCTCAGCTCCCCAGTCGCTGACCTCAGCTCCCCAGTCGCTGACCCGAGCTCCCCAGTCGCTGACCTCAGCTCCCCAGTCGCTGACCCGAGCTCCCCAGTCGCTGACCGCAGCTCCCCAGTCGCTGACCCGAGCTCCCCAGTCGCTGACCCGAGCTCCCCAGTCGCTGACCTCAGCTCCCCAGTCGCTGACCTCAGCTCCCCGGTCGCTGACCTCAGCTCCCCAGTCGCTGACCTCAGCTCCCCAGTCGCTGACCTCAGTTCCCCTCTCGCTGACCCAGCTCCCCAGTCGCTGACCCGAGCTCCCCAGTCGCTGACCCGAGCTCCCCAGTCGCTGACCTCAGCTCCCCAGTCGCTGACCTCAGCTCCCACCCTGCCGCAGCTGGTGGTGGACTACGTCAGCAAGCAGCGGGTCTTCGTCACCTCCTTCTGGGCGCGCCCCTGGAAGCTGACCGACAGGTCACTGCGCATGCGCGCTAAGCGCTTCATCCGCCGTCTAAGGCGACACGGTCACTCCTTCCTCGACAGCTACTATTACCTCGCCAAATACGATAGGTAGGTGCCCGCAGGCTGCTTGTTGGTAACTTATGGCATTGTGCAGAACAAGCGCAGGATAAAGTGAAAATGTGGATGCTGGATGTTCTTCATTGCAACTTTCTCGTACATCTTATGTCGCTAAAAAGTTTTTTTTTTTTGCATCATTCAGTCAGTTTTGTTCTGAGCGAGCATCGCTTATTTCTGCATAGGGCAATTGTATGAATATTTGTATGACAGCAAGTAACTGTCGCTCAAGTGTATCCCTGCATCTTTGGCAGCGCGGAGTCCCGTAAGCGCTCCTTCTACGAGATATGGTTGTACAGCACACCGTTCAAGAGCAAGAAGCGATTCCGACCGACGGGGAAGCCACAGATGGCGCACCCGTCGAACCGCACCCTGGACACCATCCAGCGGCTCTGTAGAGGTAGGAAAGGAAACCCCGCCACACCGTATGCAGGGGTTCTGCAGAGGTAGGGTCCCAGGTCTGGAGTCCTGACCACCCCATCGACGCCATACAGCGGCCCTGCAGAGCTATGGCTTTGCACTTTTTCTGTGTGTATGACGCAGATGTTAGGACGGCTTCCGTATGCCTACTGCTGCTGAGTGCCTTTAAGCGTTCTCAGTAAGAGCAATGCTGCTATGAACAGCATCAAATGCCACTGTCCGGCGCTGTTACCTCACCTCCACTGTAGCTCAGCGCCCCCCCCTCTCTGTGCCCCAGGTCTGGAGTGCCCAAAGTTCGAGGTGCTCTCCGAGTACCGGGACTCAGCGCCCTCTCTGTGCCCCAGGTCTGGAGTGCCCTAAGTTCGAGGTGCTCTCCGAATACCGGGGCGGCATTCAGAAGCGCCACTACTATAACGCAGTGTTCGCCACTGCGCCCATGGAGGGCTGCGACTCGAGCATTGACGCCATGTGGCGTGGCCTGCTGCCGCTGCACCTCTACAGGCATGGTGAGAGTAGACCTGCACCTCTACAGACACGGTGAGGGCGGACCTACTGTTACCTTTGCACCTCTATACACACATACCTACAGACACGCCACTCGGGGCTGGTGTTCTGCTTTCCCGTACCTCTAGCGTTACGGGACAATGTTGAATTAGCTATTAAGGCATCTTGAACTCGTCTAAGCCTTCACATATTGAATGCAAAACGTCATTTTCATAGACAATTAGAAATCCACCTTAGGCCACAAATTACTCGCATAACTATGCTGGTGGAACAAACAATTTTGTAGCGCAGACTAATAACTACGACAGTGTTCGTGTGACGTTCGTCTATCGCTCGCACCAGATTGTTGACAACCGCCTTGTCGCCTCGCCAGGGATCAACTCTCACCTGGAGGTGATCGAGGCCACCCGGCCCGTCGGCCTGCTGCGGGTCACTGAGCAGGAGCCGACGCACAACGCCACGTGCGCCATGAGCTCGCTGATGTACCTGCCGCGGCGGCTGCACAGGAACCCGCCCAACGCCGGACCGTCGGCGGTGAGCGACGACGGCACCCGCGGGAGGCCTTGCGGGAGGAGCGTTCTGCTCTGGGATCATCAGACTCTGCGGGGCGGAAGGTTAACTTGTCACTGATTGAATTGGATTCACAGTAGGTATAATGCTGAATCCTTTTTTGAAAACTTTTCCATCACTTGCAAGCAACTTTTTAGGGAAGACTTGTGTGCGAAGTCGCTCAACCTGTCCTCATGTTTTGGTGTGAAACAGGTGTGCACTATACAGTGTCTCTCCACTTCAAGCCGATCTTCATCCTAATGGCATTGTCAAGTCCTGTACCACATGCATTTCCATATCTCTGGCCAGTGAATGACCACACACATTTCCATCTCCTAGCCACTATCCAAACACAGAAGACATCTTGTCTTCACCACGTAACACTAACGCCTCCGGCAGCTGCCGTCCAGTGCAAGTGCAGCCTGTCGTAGTGAGTGAACTCGACTATCCTCCCCCATTCACCACGTGACACGTGCTCCCTCCGGCACCCGCTGACGAGCCTGGCGTACGCGCGCGAGCTGGCCTGTCCTCCCCATTCACCACGTGACACGTGCTCCCTCCGGCAGCCGCCGACGAGCATGGCGTACGTGCACGACCTGCACGTGTTCGTGCAGACGGTGGGCGGCTTCGTGCTGGAGCCGGGCCGTCTGGCGCAGGAGGTAGCTGAGTTCCGGCGGCAGCTGGACGCGCTGCGCCTCTGCTACCGGCCCCGCCAGTACTTTGTGGCCGTGTACGACTTCATCCAGCGCTACCACGGCCGGCTCAACGAGCTCTGGATGCTCACACGGCGCTGCGACGATGGCGAGAGGGCGTAGCGGAGAGAGTGCCATGGACACGGTGTGTGGATGAAGGACGGACGGGCCGAGGTACCCGGGCAGTGAGGTGGTTGACTGCTGAATGATGGTGGGGACGGCAGGATCCCCAGTCGCGAAGATGGAAGGCCCTCGGTGGCCGACAGTGGTAGCGTAAGCGATGGACGCTGTTTATTTACTAGAGTGGGTGACGACAATATGAGACGGGCTGGAGGGCAACAAACAACCGCTGAAGGTGACGAAGTAATGATTTCTCCTCAGTATGAATAGAGTGTGGTGAAATGATTGCAGGAAATGCGGCATTGCGTACATATTTGAGTGGAAGATAGCTCATGTAAATTAAAGGGACCCTCCCACCTTAAAAAAAGTTAATGAATTGGCATGAAAGTGATGTCGCTCGGTTCAGAAAGAGCAAAAATGAATATCTACCAAATTTCATCGAAAAATATTCACCGGTTTTCAAGATATTAGACTTTTAGTTTTGTTTACTTTTTGGGATCTCCGCTGTTCCTAGCGACTTTATTTGAAAGTGCGGCATTTGTTGCGCGCAAAGCAGCATACACTGAAAAAAAGTCAGCCAAATTTTGGTCTCAGAGACCAGAAAGGGGTCTTTTTTCCCCTATTCAAATCAGACCACACTTTTTGAGCCATTCTGCGCGGTCTTTCTGAAACCCTTTTAGAGAGCTTAGAAACCGGTCTCGCGAAACCATTCAGTGGTCTCACGGAGAAACAAAACTGGTCTCCAAAATGCTCAAAGTGTGTTCTCTTTTGAAACTCTCAGCTGGATGAAACCACGTTCTGGTTTACGATAATACCGCTGGACTGTCTCAACATCAGCCACCATTGGATTAGACCAGAAAATGGTCTCATAGAAGAACTCAAGCCATTCTCGTTACGAGCCTTCTTTCTGGACCCTCGAATGTAGCCGCGCAGCCCCGCCCTGCCGCGCGGCCATATTGCCGCCCAAAATACAACCATGTTTTCTTCTCAAAATGTATTAGTCTCGTACTAGTCGCGTCGTGCCGCGCGCAGCTGCCGGCCCGGTCGACACAGGCCCAGGCCCTCTCAAACACAAATTTCAGTGCAGTAGCATATATGCGGAGACAATTGGCAGTCCCGTCGTGCCACGCGCTGCCGACCCGGTCACAAAAGGCCCAAGCCCTCTCAAACACAAAGCTAGTTCATGCAGTAGCAATGGGCGCGGCGAAAGCAGTCGCGTCGTGCCGCGCTGCAGTCCCCAACCAAAGAACACTCGTCACTCACCCCGGCCGCCGCTACACCGTGGTGAACGCGCGGTTGTGCGAAACGTCTTCTCCTAGAGAGCGAAATTCCTCGGCCGCCACTGTCTCTTGGTTCTTCAATTTGTAGAGGTCGGGAAGATCGTTACCTTCTTCAGAAGCCGAAGTCACTATGACATCTGCCCTTTCAATCTTGATTTCAACGAAATCTTACTGTAGCGAAAGATTAAAAGATTTCTGACCATGACTGATGAGCAAGTGTGTTGTTTCCTCTGTTATCATGCACAATTTTTTATATATGGCTAAAGAATGTCTCTACTTATAACAATATACCTCCAAGCGCAGCGCACACCAACGCACACAATTTGCAAATGGCGCCTGACAATGCGCTGTATGTAAACAAGTCCAGAGACTGCACTTATCTGAAACCACCACGCTGCCTCACACCGACGCAGGATATGAGATGAGACCGGCAAACATTCTCACGGTTAGTCCTAAAAAGAGTCGCACCCATGATGCTTCAAACGCTGTTCAAAACGAGACCAACTATCAGGCTTGTCAAACAGGAGACTCTGACAGCCCTAATAAATGAGGTCAAGCAAGCACCATTTCACTATATAGACCTTCTTGTGGTTTCACATGAAACCCAATCAGTAACCATTCTCATTTTGTTTTTTCAGTGATACCACCGCGTGCTGCCAAACGTTTTAGTAAAAGATTTAAAAATCGTTAGATCTCCGCTGACGTCACAAATTCTAAGGGGGCATACCAATGCATTAGCCCCTTAGAATCCGAAAACTGCAAGTTTGAAATTCCATATCTCCGAATTAAAGCATTTTTCGATGTTGTGAATGCCCAAACCGGTATTTTCAGGCCATGGCCACCAATTTGGCTATCTCAACTTAAAACTAATGTTAAGGTGGGAGGGTCCCTTTAAATTCATGTTTATATCAACACTCTTCTTGCGTCCTTACGAAGTGGTCGATAGTGAACGATTTATTCTCGTGATTTAAAGTGACCATCCCACCTTAACATTCGTTTTGAGCTGAGATGGCTAGAATGGGGTCCCTGGCTTGCACTTACCGGTTTGAGCACTCACAAGATCGAGAAATGCCTCATGTCGAAAATATCTAAGTTCAAAGTTGCAGCACTTGGATTCAGAGGTGCTAATGCATTAGAATGCCCCCTCTGAATGTGTGACGTCAGCGCAGATCTGACGATTTTAAATCTTTTACTAAAATGTTTGGTAGCACGCGGTGGTATATGCTGCTTTGCGCGCAACAAATGCCGCACTTTCAAATAAAGTCGCTAGGAACAGCGGAGATTCCAAAAAAGTAAACAAAAGTAAAAATCTAATATCTTGAAAACCGGTGAATACTTTTAGATGAAATTTGGTAGATAATCGTTTTCGCTGTTTCTGAACCGAGCGACATCACTTTCATGCCAATTCATTAACTTTTTTGAAGGTGGGAGGGTCCCTTTAACTCATACGTGATGGTAAAATTGCCATTCGCGTGCTACCAAACATTTTAGTAAAAGATTTAAAATCGTCAGATCTGCGCTGACGTCACACATTCAGAGGGGGCATTCTAATGCATTAGCACCTCTGAATCCAAGTGCTGCAACTTTGAACTTAGATATTTTCGACATGAGGCATTTCTCGATCTTTGTCATTTTACCTATGCAGGGGCAGCTTGTAAGTACGAGTACGTATGGGTTTTGGGAATGAGAAACACTTAGATAGGTACGCAAAACTCTCATGTCACCGGTTGAGTAAGGAACGGCAGCTGATCAATGTGCAGTGTGAGTGGTACTTACGTGTCGGCAGTGCGAGGCTGTGAAATGTCGCGCAGGGCGGACCTGACAACCTTCAGACGAGAGACCGAAGTGGGGAAACGAGACGCGTAGAGTAGAGCAGACGTGAAAAGTGCAGAGATTAGCTGACGCTGAACAAAACTGGAAGCGGGGTGTTCGCCGAGCGTGTGATTGAATACAAGTCGTCATCCTGATGCGCGATCGAAGGTATGCATGATGGTATTAAATAGCGAGCAGCTATGTGTTGCGAGTGGAAAAGTGTACCTAAACATGGTGTGTCAAAAGTGGAAATAGCCGGTGCGCCGTCTGGCAACCCGGCAGCCCGCCGCCATAGGGAAATTCATGCTTTTTGTCGCTTTTTCGCTCCTTATGAGTCACTGGGTCTAATTAGAGCTTAACCCTATTCCTGGCGGGGGGCCTCAGGAGCCCCCCCCTGAGGTTTTTTGGTTATTTCTCCCAAACGCGTTGAGCTAGGAAGCTAAAATTTTCTGACTTTTCCTAAAAGGCTTCTACGCAACATGTCTGAAAGTTTTTAGTTGATCTGACCTCAGGTCAGGTCACCAGAGGCGGTTTGGTGACCCTACCTCAGAAAAGTTTGCAATCACGCCAGAGCTAGAGTTTTTGACCGATCAATTTCTTCTCTTCAGGGTTTAGTTAGGGTACCAGTATGTGCAATTTGTTTATCTCGGAATTTTGATATCGGTGACCTAAGGTCAGGTCAATTTCGCGACCTCCCCATTATAAGTCAATGGGGGAAAAATCAACTCCCTGTTTTTACCACTAAAACGGGTCGGAATGGCCCCATATACCATACATGACTTCATATACGATCAACCTTCACTACCTTGAGGTCTGTTTTGCTGTTGGGCAGCTGTGAGGTCATGTGACGTCATCAAAGGTCACCAAAGGTTTTTGGCCAATAACTCCGTACAGGAACAAGATACAGACGCGTGGATGGTCTCATTGTGTTCAGCTCGTCAAGACGCATCGAATGATATACATGATGACCTCGAGGTCACGTGACCTGAGGTCAACCTTTGACCTTGACCTTTCGAGGTCAACATATATATATATAATTCGATGTGGATTGACGAGAGGATCACGATGATGCCCTTAGTTTGTTCCTATCTTGACTAATTCGAAAGTTATTCGAGAAAAACTCTCTCCATATCTAGCGCCGCCATTTTGACTTTTTCGACCCCTGTGACGTCATCTTTGACCTGACCTGAAAATGACCTTTGTAAAAATTGTAGATCTTGGCCGTGCGTATCCGATGCCGTTTACCGCTTGTCGCTATCTTGCTTCGTTCTCGAGATCTCAGGGGGGGGGGCCGAATCGGCCCCCCCCCGCCAGTTTCTTGTCCCGGCGGAGCCCGCCAGGAATAGGGTTAACCCGCGCCCCGTAGGGGGGGGGGGCCGAAACGGTCCCCCTGTCCTTTTCGGTCGATATCTCCTAAACGGCTGGAGATATCGCCACCAAACTTTCAGGACCCCTCCGGGCATCAATTTTACACATTATGACCAAAAATTTTTCCAGAGGCTGTGATAGGTTGGCCACAAATGACGTCAGAGTGACGTCATGTTCTGTCATTTTCGACCGAAAAAAGACCTTCGCGAGAAGACCTGTCAGGCCTACAGCTTTGAAGATACAGAAAAATGATCAAGATATAAAAGGTGTAGAATTGACAGGGCTACAAAACTGCTATCTCGGATTTTTGAAATTTTTGAGTTTTGATCCCCAAAAATCAAAAAAGCATTTTTTTGGATATATTAGCCAAAAAATCCAAAAAGTTTTTTGAGTTTCGAAAAAAACCGGAATATATGTGATAGTACCTACCGTCTTCTATCTACATACCAAATTTCAGATCGATACCTCGTTTTTTGGCCAAGTTATAGCGAAAAAACTGTTCAAAAATGATGACGTCAAATTTTCAAACTCAATTTTTGGCAATTCTAGAACTCGTAGAGCAACACAAAAACCACCATTAGACTCCCCGTGACGAGCTGCATCGAATGGATACCCATTTTATGCAAAAATATCAACTTTGAAATTTGACCTAATTTGACCTGACCTTGACCTGACCT